GAGCTGCCCTCATGACCTTGTTATACTCTCTCACTTAACCCCATGAGATGACACGTCGTGTTCATAATCAGCTCCAACTCCAGCCATCAATAAGGGGCAGAATAGGAGACGCAGACATTTGACTTGGAGATTCGCTTCGTTATGAACTGCAGTTTGGCTGAATTTGGGCAGATTGGGTGAATGAACTCCGAGCAGAAATGTTCCCCAATCACAAACCAAACAAGTAGCTGAACGCGAACATGATGTATGATACATGTATAGTTTGGAGGAAAGACGAGACAGGGGGGATATGTATAGAAACATTTAAATACATAAAGGGAATCAACACAGTAAAGGAGGAGACTATATTTAAAAGAAGAAAAACTACCACAACAAGAGGACATAGTCTTAAATTAGAGGGGCAAAGGTTTAAAAATAATATCAGGAAGTATTACTTTACTCAGAGGGTAGTGGATGCATGGAATAGCCTTCCAGCTGAAGTGGTAGAGGTTAACACAGTAAAGGAGTTTAAGCATGCGTGGGATAGGCATAAGGCTATCCTAACTATAAGATAAGGCCAGGGACTAATGAAAGTATTTAGAAAATTGGGCAGAGTAGATGGGCCGAATGGTTCTTATCTGCCGTCACATTCTATGTTTCTATACGACGTTCACCCGTGGCACCATAAAAAGAGAAGCTTGATGGGGAAAAAAGACATTCTATGGTTAGAGGCAGGGCCGGATTAACATAGGGGCTGATGGAGCTGCAGCTCCAGGCCCAGGCCCATGGAATAGGCCCATTGATTTAAAAAAAAAAAAAAAAAAAATTTTTTTTTTAAATTTTTTTTTTTTCACACACTACTCTTAGGTATTCCACATGGCTTTTATTTTATTGGCACAACCAGTATTTGAGGCTGCCTGGCTGGTGCCAATATTACAGTGATACTGGCAATACAAATACTGGTATTTTTCTCAGTATAAACAAGAGATTACTATGCAATACCAACACTGGCCAGTAGGGGTCACTGTGTGTGGAGACAGGCAGGGATAGGAAGTTGCAGCATATCCCTCCCTTCCTATCTATACTCACTGATCTGCAGGGGTGCAGCTACAGAGAGTCCAGACAGCAACTCCCACCATGCAGAGACAGCCTACAGCTCAGGGAAGTAAGGGATGGGGGGAAAGGCTGCAAGGAGACATGGGGACACTGAGACACTAAGGGACATTGGGAGACATTATGGCAGACACTGAGACAGTAAGGGACATTGGGAGACATGGGGACACTGAGATACTAAGGGACACTGGGAGACATTATGGCAGACACTGAGATACTAAGGGGCACTGGGAGACATTATGGCAGACACTGAGACACTAAGGGGCACTGGGAGACATTATGGCAGACACTGAGACACTAAGGGACACTGGGAGACATTATGGCAGACACTGGGACACTAAGGGACATTGGGAGACATTATGGCAGACACTGAGACACTAAGGGACATTGGGAGACATTATGGCAGACACTGAGACACTAAGGGACACTGGGAGACATTATGGCAGACACTGAGACACTAAGGGACACTGGGAGACATGGCAGACACTGGGACACTAAAGGACACTGGGAGACATTATGGCAGACACTGAGACACAAAGGGACACTGGGAGACATTATGGCAGACACTGAGACACTAAGGGACATTGGGAGACATTATGGCAGACACTGAGACACTAAGGGACATTGGGAAACATTATGGCAGACACTGGGACACTAAGGGACATTGGGAGGCATTATGGCAGACACTGAGACACTAAGGGACATTGGGAGACATTATGGCAGACACTGAGACACTAAGGGACATTGGGAGACATTATGGCAGACACTGAGACACTAAGGGACACTGGGAGACATTATGGCAGACACTGAGACACTAAGGGACACTGGGAGACATTATGGCAGACACTGAGACACTAAGGGACACTGGGAGACATTATGGCAGGCACTGAGACACTAAGGGACACTAGGAGACATGGCAGACACTGAGAAACTAAGGGACACTGGGGGACGTTATGGCAGACACTGAGACACTAAGGGACATTGGGAGACATTATGACAGACACTGGGACACTAAGGGACATTGGGAGACATTATGGAAGACACTGAGACACTAAGGGACATTGGGAAACATTATGGCAGACACTGGGACACTAAGGGACATTGGGAGACATTATGGCAGACACTGGGACACTAAGGGACACTGGGAGACATTATGGCAGACACTGAGACACTAAGGGACATTGGGAAACATTGTGGCAGACACTGAGACACTAAAGAGGACATTAGGAGACATTATGGCAGACACACAAGAGACACTAGGGACACTGGAACATTATAGCGAACACGGAGACACTAAAAAGAGGTTACTGGGAGACATTATGGCAGACACTGAGACACTAAGGGACACTGGGAGACATTATGGCAGACACTGAGACACTAAGGGACACTGGGAGACATTGTGGCAGACACTGAGACACTAAGGGGCACTGGGAGACATTATGGCAGACACTGAGACACTAAGGGACATTGGGAGACATTATGGCAGACACTGAGACACTGAGGGACACTGGGAGACATTATGGCAGACACTGAGACACTAAAGGACATTGGGAGACATTATGGCAGGCACTGAGACACTAAGGGACACTGGGGGACATGGCAGACACTGAGAAACTAAGTGACACTGGGGGACATTATGGCAGACACTGAGACACTAAGGGACATTGGGAGACATTATGACAGACACTGAGACACTAAGGGACACTGGGAGACATTATGGCAGACACTGAGACACTAAGGGACATTGGGAGACATTATGGCAGACACTGAGACACTAAGGGACATTGGGAGACATTATTGCAGACACTGAGACATTAAGGGACAATGGGAGACATTATGGCAGACACTGAGACACTAAGGGACATTGGGAGACATTATGGCAGACACTGGGACATTAAGGGACATTGGGAGACATTATGGCAGACACTGAGACACTAAGGGACATTGGGAGACATTATGGCAGACACTGGGACACTAAGGGACACTGGGGGACATTATGGCAGACACTGAGACACTAAGGGACATTGGGAGACATTATGGCAGACACTGAGACACTAGGGGACACTGGGAGACATTATGGCAGACACTGAGACACTAAGGGACACTGGGAGACATTATGGCAGACACTAAGGGACACTGGGAGACATTATGGCAGATACTGAGGCACTAAGGGACACTGGGAGACATTATGGCAGACACTGGGACACTAATGGACACTGGGAGACATTATGGCAGACACTAAGGGACACTGTGAGACATTATGGCAGACACTGATACCATAAAGGGCACTGGGAGACATTATGGCAGATACTAAGACACTAAGGGACATTGGGAGATACTATGACACAGACACATGGGGACACAGTGTCCCCATGTCTCCCAGCCAGTGTCCCTGGTGTCTCAGTGCCCCCTAGTCTCCCAGTGACCCCAGTCTGCCAGTGTCTCACTGTCCCCATGTCTTCTAGTGCCTCCATGTCTCTCATTGCCTCAAGTGTCACAATGTCCCCATGTCTCCAAGGCAGTGTCCCTAGTGTCTGTGGCCCTGGTGTCTCTGTGTCCCCATGTCTCCCAGTGCCCCATGTCTCAATGTCCCCATGTCCCCCAGCCAGTGTCTCTAGTGTCTATATCCCCATGTCTTCAAGTGTCCCCTATTTTCCCATTGTCCCCATGTGTCCCAGCCAGAGTCCCCTAGTCTCCCAGTGTCACTGGTGTCTCCGTGTCCCTAGGTCTCCCCATGTCCCCAGGTCTCCCCGTCTTCCTACAGTCCTAGTGACATGGGGACCCTGGGATACATGGGGACACAGGGAGACATGGGGCATTGAGACACTGTGATACATAGGATCACTGGGAGACCTGGGGACACGACACTAGGGGACACTGGGAGACATGGGTCACTGAGACACTGATACATAGGAACACTGAGACCTGGAGTAATCGACACATGGGGCCACTGAGTCATGAGGGCACTGGGAGACATGGGGGCACTGGGAGGAATCCATCTATACAGCAGAATCAAACTAAGTAGTTTTTTGGTGATTTTACAGCATTTTCTCTTATGTCACTCCTTGTGATTTACATCATGTGATGTCACCCATACATATTTAATTATGCAAATTAGTAAGGCGGTATGTTTTTCCAAGAAAGGTGGCAACCCTAACTACTTTTCACATACTCTTACTTAAGTATGGAAACTTAAGTGGGATGTATGGGAACAAAACTTGTGTGGACTGGCTGACAATGAATATAGTTAAAGGGACACTATAGTCACCAGAACAACTACAGCTTATTGAATTTGTTCTGGTGAGTAGAATCATTACCATCAGGTTTTTTGCTGTAAGCATGGTCTTTTCAGAGAAAATGCTGTGTTTACATTACATCCTAGTGATAACTTCACTGGCCACTCCTTAGATGACTGTTAGAGATCCTTCCTGGGTCATGGCTGCCTAAAATGCATCCAAACATTCAGTGTCTCCTCCCTCTGCATGCAGGCACTGAACTTTCCTCATAGAGATTCATTAATGAAATTCATCTATATAAGGAGATGCTGATTGGCCAGGGCTGTGTTTGAATCATACTGGCTCTGACCCTGATCTGCCTCTTTGTCAGTCTTAGCCAATCCTATGGGGAAGCACTGTGATTGGATCAGGCCACCACTTCTAATGATGTCAGCAGACCATGACAGAGCATGACAGAGCAGGCCACCACTTCTAATGATGTCAGCAGAGCATGCAGAGTTACAGCTTCAGGCTTTAATATAGATTTTGCTATATTTATAGAGGCATGAGGGGTCTAGGGGGGGCTAGATGGTGGTGTTAATACTATAGGGTCATGAATTCATGTTTGTGTTCCTGACCCTATAGTGATCCTTTAAGGTAATGCTGAC